TAAACGGTGGGAGGGAGGAAAAAAAGTAGAGAAATCCCTATTTCACGTGATTTATCTATGGAACTGAGTAATGATGGCCCAACAATCTGAATCACTTTAAAAGGAAAGTGAACCCCAAAACTGCCCATTCAACTTTGTGAGTCTAAATCATTTTCAATAAAGAGAAGCTGTAATAATCCTAGTTTCTGGACGGGTCATGCTTTATCCATGTTGTGGCCCTCCAGGAAGGGAATGACCTCTTAGCTTTCTTATCTCTAGCAATTAGATACCTGGACCATATAGTTCTTGATCAACAGAAGGCATAAATGCTGATGCAGTTAATTAGCCAACTAACCCAACAAAACATCATGGTATATTTCATTATAATCCAGCTTTAAATAACTCCCAAATATTTAGAGCACTAGCTGTGCCAGAAGTACCCAGATTGTTGTTGGGGGCAATATGCTGACTCTGTAAACCGCTTAGAGAGGGCTGAAAGCCCTATGAAGCGGTATATAAATCTAATTGCTAATTGCTATTGCTATCTTTTGTTTTCCTCTGGCCTCTGAATTGTATTTCTGTTCAAGAAAAATAGTCTTCTTTTATTCATTCTATCTTGATGGTCTGTCCTTCCTTCCTTCCTCTGAAACCTGCCTATTTGCTTGCTTCTTAGAATTTCTTCCCACAACAATTTCTAAACATGGTTCAGTGGATCAGATGTTTAGTTTAGTTTAGTGGCAAACATGTCAGCCTGGGCAGAAGAGGTCCTCTTTGCTGCTTTGCTGGTCTTTGCCATCAGTGCCAAGAAGAAGGCAGCTTTAGGTGTTCTTCATCCCTTCAGGAAACCCAGTTCCAGCAGCTACGTGATTTGAGGACAAGCCTTAATATTCTCTGCCTGAAGATGTTGAGCGATGAAGGGCAGAACCTCTGCTCAGGTTCCTCACCCTCCTTTGCTTAGAACGAAGTGAGGAGATATCAAGAACATGTTGTTGGCACACACAGGTTGACATTCCTTTGGACATGGTCTCCAGAAACTCCCCATCTGCATTCTGGTCCCATTCCCACCCCCAGCAACGAAACTCTGGATTTAGAGCTGCTTCATTTGTTTATATAATTTAGACTTGGTCATCAAGAGGATGACCACCCTGCCAACAAAAGTGTGTATTGTCCAGGCTATGGTTTTCCCAGTTACAATGCATGGCTGTGAAAGTTGGACCATAAGAAAGGCTGAGCGCCAAAGAATTGAGGCCTTTGAACTATGGTGTTGGAGAAGACTCCTGTGAGTCCCTTGGACTGCAAGGTGATCAAACCAAGTCAGTCCTAGAGGAGATCAACCCTGACTGCTCTTTAGAAGACAATAACCTGAAGATGAAACTCAAATACTTTGGCCATCTAATGAGAAGATCCTAATGCTGGGAAAGACTGAGGGCAAAAGAAGAAGGGGAAAGCAGAGAATGAGGTAGCTGAATGGAGTCACCAAAGCAGTTGGCGTGAACTTAAATGGACTCCAGAGGATGGTAGAGGATAGGAAGGCCTGGAGGAACGTTGCCCATGTGGTCATGATGGGTCAGACACAACTTCGCAACTTACAACAACCACAACAACATCAAGAGGAAGGAGGAAACTGATGGTCGCCATTGCTGATGGTTTCATACATGAAGATGGAGAAGAAGACATGGAAACAGAACAACCGCAGGGCTCTGAACTCTCTCCAGCCCTTCCAGGGGGACAGACGGGAGTGTGACCATTCCCAGAATGTTCCCAGAAGGCAGAGTCCAAATTGTTTACTCTGGAGAAGTTGTGCTTCAGCACATGCCCAGTCTGACCATGGGAAAATGTCCAAGTCCCACCTTGGATCTTGCACAAGCCTAAGTGTAGTTCCTGCGTTCCCTGCCTGCCCGTCCCAGTTGATCGTAGCATCTCTGGCTCCCCTCTGTCGAAGAGGTCGGCGTTTCCTTTTATTTCTCCTTTAATATCTCGCTTGAACGCCTGGGTGATGCATAAGACCATTTGGGTGATATACCATTTAACGGATGTCGAGGGAGGTCCGGGGGAAATAAAGCAGAGAATATATTCGGAGAATGAAGAGTGTTCTAATCGGCGGGCATTATGAGCTAAAAAGCATGAAGCCATTTATTTTCTCCCTCCCTCCCCTTCCTGGTGATGAATGTGAAAGGGGGAAAATGAGAAAATAACCAAGAGGGGCGCTGGGAATTCTGGCTGAGTGAAATTTTGACTCCCGGGTATTTCGGCTTCTTGTTGATGGCCGACGGGGCTGTTTCCATAGCAACCACCGTGCGGGACAAACCCAAGGGCTATAGAGGGAAAATAACAAAGTTTCTGCAGCTGGAAGTTGCTTTTCTTCCAATTCCCCCCCCTTCACCTCTTCTTTTCTTCTGTAACCTTATTCACCTTAATGACATCGATTAACCAACTTTTAACGCTTCCTGTTCTTCCTAATGCTATCGAGGAGTTTGAAGGAAGCTTTGTTTTGCAGAAGGTAAGTGTGCTGTTCTACTCACTCACACATCAGTGTGGTTTATGGAGTGTTTTATTAGTCTTCCCGCCCCACCGGTTCTCTTTACCTGGCTTTAGAACTGTCCCAACTGAAGCCAATTACAAGCAAACCCAGATGATTTCCCCAGGCGATGTCCAATTAGTCCATAACACAAATACCAAGCTGCTCAAACAGGAACTCCAATAAACCAACATACTTCCCCCTGGCAAAACTTAAAAATACATCCACATTAGCGCACGGGTTATAGCAGTGATGGCTAACCTTTTTGTCGTTGCGTGCCATCACGTGCATTTTCAATGCACGCATGACACCCTCTGTGCCCTGACCCCTGCGCATGTGTATGTGACTCCCCCTTGCTCCCCATGCATGCGTATACAACTCTCTGCCCTCTGTGCATGCACGCAAGACCTTCCCCCTGCATCCCATTTTGGGTCTAGTAGGCCTCCCTGTAGCCTCCTGGGACAAAAAACGGGCCGCAAGGGGCACCATACCCCCTCAGGCTCCCCGCACCCCCGTGCATGCCCACGTGACCTCCCCCACCCATGCAGGTATGCGTGTCTCCCGCAAGTGCCCCTTCTTGCAAGTACACAGCAGAGACCCGAAAATCAGCTGGCTGACAGGAGGCGCGTGTGCATGCGCGGTGGAGCTGAGTTGGGGTGATGGCTCTTGTGCCCGTGGAGATGGCTCTGCATCTGAGGACAACACTGCTATGGAAAGAGGGTCTTCTCCCGCCTTCTGACTCAGGCAAAGGAACACTGTCCTTTGGGTGTTGCATTGAACACGAGAAGCATGCCATGTTTAGCAAATCCAACAAGGAAAACATTAGTCCAGAAGATGGCCTTGAAAAGAAAGATTAGGTTCCAACCTTTTGTTGATGAAAGCTTAAAACATTTCCTGACATTGTAATTGACCCGGGCTTTAGAATTCCTTTGGTTGGGCAGGATATCCACCTTTTCCTGCTTATTAGTATTCTTAGAGGCGTGCTATCGAGGCATTCGTTATTGAGAAGACATTTGAAAGGAACAAGAAAGTTTGTTTCCTACAAAATCAGTTTTTCACTGGTGAAAAAAGTAAGGTTCCACATTTAGGCAAGAAAAAAGAAATGCACAGGTACAGTATAGGTGGTACCTTGCTCAATAGTAGTAACTGTAAGAGGGATCTTGGAGTGGAAAACCATTTAAATATGAGCCAGCAGTGT